AATGGGGTTGAGATAGATGAAAACCCCTCCACAAACCGCCCATAATAATCCGCCAAACCTAAGAAGCTTTGAATCTTTGTAGTTGAAGTAGGTCTAGGCCAGTTCTGAACTACCTCAATCTTCTTATGATCAACTTTAATGTCTTGGAAGATACAACATGGCCCAAGATGGCTATCGAGTCCAACCAGAAGTCACACTTCGAAAACTTGGCATATAACTGACGATCCCTCAAAGTTTGAAGTACGATCTGAAGATGCTGCTCATGCTCCTTTCGACTGCGAGAGTAAACCAAAATATCATCAATGAAGATGATCACAAAAGAATTCAGATAGGCCTGAATACCTGGTTCATCAAATCCATAAAGTCTTCTGGAGCATCAGTCAAGTCAAATGACATCACTAGGAACTCATAGTGAGTATATCAAGTTCAAAAAGTTGTCTTACGGACATCCGATGCTCTAATCTTCAATTTATGGTAGCCAGATCTCAAGTCAATCATAGAAAACACCTTGGCACCCGGAAGCTGATCAAATAAGTCATCAATTCTCGGCAACGGATACTTGTTCTTGATAGTAGCTTTGTTCAACCGCCAATAATCTATACACATCCTCATCATTCCATCCTTTTTCTTCACAAACAACACTGGAGCACCCCAAGGAGAGACACTAGGTCTAATGAACCCCTTATCAAGCAAATCCTATAACTACTCTTTCAGGTCTTTCAACTCAACTGGGGCCATACAATATGGTGCGGTAGAAATGGGTTGAGTGCCCGGAACGAGATCAATGCAGAAGTCGATATCTCTATTAGGTGGCATCCCCGACAAATATGTAGGAAACCCCTCTGGGAACTCACACACAATTGGTACTAAATCCATGAAATGAACCTCCGCACTAGGATCACGGATATAGGCCAAATATGCTAGACACCCCTTCTCGACCATACTCTAATCTTTCACATAAAAAATGACCCTGCTAGTAGAATGCCAAGAGTCCCTCTCCACTCTAATCGAGACAACCCCAACATGCCTAATATCACAGTCTTGGCGTGACAGTCCAAAATAGATTGATAAGGTGACAACCAATTCATGCCTAAGATCACGTCAAAATCCACCATATCAAAAAGTAGAAGGTCTACCCTAGTCTCATATCTCCCGATAGAAACCAAACATGAGCGATAAACACGATCTACCATAATAGAATCTCCCACAGGTGTAGGCACAAAAAAAGAGGATTCAAAGAATCACAAGACATAACCAAATATGAAGCAAAAAAGGATGAAACATATAAATAAGTAGATCCCTGATCAAATAAAACTGAAGCATCTCTATGGAAAACCGGAACAATATATGTAATGACCGCATCTGATGACTCTACCTCAGGTCTAGCTACGAATGCATAAATATGGGGCTGAGCCCCACCTCTCTGACTTCCACCTCTCAAACGGCCTCTAATTGGCAGGCCTCCACCTCTAATAGTCTAACCACCATCTCTAGCTTCCTGACCCCCGCCTCTAGCAGGCTGAGCGGGTGATAGAGCAAGCAGTGCTGGAACCATGGCACGAGAACCCTACTGAGGCACACTACTATGAAGTTTGGGACAGTACCTCCTGATATGACTCGTACCTCCACACTCAAAGTACTCTCTCGATTGTTGTGGCTGTTGAAGGTGAGACTGACCCTGATGGCCTAGATAACCACTGTGATAGCTCTGAATCGGGGCTGCACTGATGGTAGCTGAAGGTGCACTTTTTGCTAGCTACTCAAGATGAGACCCATAAGAACCACGACTGCTCAAGGCACCATGGGATGCCTGGAATGCTGACTGAACTAGCTTGATATGATGGCATCTACAAAAAGACCCCGACCTCTAGATGAGGCACCACTGAAACCAATGAAATGACGAAGCCTCTTCATAGATACCACCTCCCTTACCTAAACATGAATCATTACGTTCCGTCTAGCAATCTCTACCACCCGCCGAAAGAAATATCATTCCCAGTCTCCTTGGCCATCTGTAGCATGATACTAAAAGTAAGGCCATAAATGAATCTCCTCATCTTCTCCCTGTCAGTAAGGAGCACGACACCTGTATGGCAAGATATATCTACCAATTGGGTTTCGTACTGGGTAACACTCATGCTACCCTGCTGTAGGAGCTCAAACTACCTGCAGTACTCCTCTCTCAGAGTAATGAACTTCTCAAAAAATAACCGTGAAAACTGATCCCAAGTGAGTGGAGGTGAATCTGCTGGTCTGACTCAGTCATGATCCTGCCACTATATATATCTCTTGGTGCAGCCGTGCATTTGAAATGCCGCAAAGTCAACTCAATTGATCTCCACTATACGCATGTTGTGCAATACCTCATGGAAACGATCAATTAAATCCTGTGGATCCTCAGAAGGTGTGCAACCAAAGAGAATGGGAAATAACTTTGTGAACTTGTCCAATCACTTCAACCTCTCAGAAGACATCGCGACCTTATCTATGGGCTGAGTAGCAATAGCGGGTTGAACTACTCTAACGCTAGAACTGCTAGAGTTTGATATGGGATCCATCTGCTCCGTAGTGTGAGTAATGGGATTTGGGCTCCTCCCCCAAGCCTGAGAGATAGCTGGCGCCATAGGAAATGCTCTGGCCTTGGCCATACTCTCCATAAGGCCCAATAAGCGAACTAGGGCGTCCTGAAGTACAGGAGTATTAATGAATCCCTTCGGGGCCTGAACGGGTTCGACTGGTGTGATCTGAACTGGGATCTCCTCCTCATGCTCGATTTGAGACTCTGCAACGGGTGTTGTTGCCGATGCTCTAGGTTGAGCTTTACCTCTGCGTTGACCCTTACCTCAGCCCCGACCCCTACCATTGGTAGTGGCTGCAACATGAGGCTCTGGCTCCTGCTCGGTAGTGGATCTTGTGCGTGTCCTCATCATCTGCGAGAGAACAAAAATAGAATGGTTCAAACTTCAGTGATAGAATAAAGTCGCACGATAGAGAAAGAAAGAAGTGAATTTTTTTCTAAAGCTATAGCCTCTTGTTAGCAATTGCGACCATCGCGATTCCAAAACACATGTTGTAAATGCGAACTGTGCCCCCAGACTGCATAAGTCCCAAATGCGATTCCACCGCTAATGCGAGTAAAGGCTTGCATTTGCGAACTTGCCTATTGCATTTGCGAACCTGCCTAAGTCTAGTCGCAAATGCGACCAAGCCATCATAAAAGCGAAGCCTGGGATGTCCACAAATGCGAGAATTTCTTTGCAAATGCGAAGTCTACCCTGCCCAATCCCTCATCACAAATGCGAATTGAACTTCGCAAAAGCGGAGTTCGTATTTGCGAACAGGTCATCGCAAATGTGAGACCTGCAGTTCAGCACCAGAACTGAAGCACACCAGCAATTGCCAAATTACCCAACTCATCTGTAACTCACCCGAAACTCAACGAGCCCCTCAGGCTCCAAATTAAACATGCACACAAGTGTATAACATCATATAAACTTGCTCGTTACCTCAAATCATTAAAGTAAGATCAAATAATAAGGATTGACCACCAAAACTCAAGATTTCAACTTGAAAACTCATTTTTCACAATCTTTCACAAACTGCATCGAAATTCGCTCGAGTCACCCTGGACCCCAACCAAACCTGCGTACAAGTCCAAAAATATCATATGAACCTACCGGAATCGTCAAAGTACCGATTAAGGTCGTTTACCAAGAATGTTGACCGTGGTCAACTCAAGTTGTTTTTAAAACCAAAAATCACATTTTTCTTTTAAATTTTACGTAAAAACTTTCCCAAAACAACATGGTCCACGCACGCAAGTCACATAACATCCAAGGAAGCTATGAGAAGTCCCGAAACACAGAAATAAGTGCTAATACTTAAAATGACCTATCAGATCGTCACATTTTCGTCCATTATTACTATAACTTATAGAATTATAGAAATAGAACACACGTTAAGTGGTGGCACAAATATAGAATATTTATGCACTTTTTCATTAAAATAATTGAAAAGACAAGAAAGAAAATTAGAATAGTCACAGGATAATGCTCTCTATTTGTAAAAGTGATTGGTAAAAAAACTAGAAATATGTTGATTGATTACAAGCTAATTAAAGGGCTTTCTATTCATTAGTCATTAATAGTGTTATGATTGTCCTCTTCCCAATCACCAGCAATATTGGCAACAGCTGGTCTCCACCAGCATAAAAAAATTGCATTAAAATATAGGAAAAGTTTTAACACCTGGCAGTATATCCAACACTTCTTTACAATCCATACGCAGTTGTCACGAGAAACGAGAAAGAGCTTTAATCGGAGTGGACTAGGAATATATGATATATCCGCTCCCTAGCTTTTGAACCTTTTGTTCTCCACTGTAATATTGAAATTTTAAGATGTGAACAAAAACAATTAGAGGCATTTACACCTATAGTCTTTTTTATGCTATTATTATAAATTCTGTTTTCGTTAAATTTATGAATTAAATTTACCTATAAAAAGGAAAAATAATTTATATAATTAGTATAAGGATAGAATTTAGCCAAGTTACACTAACGAGAACATAAAAAGAAAAAAGAAAAAAAAAAGGTGATCGGCAAGGCTTTGTAGGAATATTCTAGATAGCTGAGAAACACAAGCGATTTCAAATATAGAAATGGGAAAAAACCAGCAGCCACATCTATAAAAAGCAGCTATCAAATGAGTGGAATGTAGCGAAATTTCAGGATAATTAGCATAGCGAGAGAGAATTTTACAGCACATGGAAGTTCTTAGCTCAAGCCAGCCGTCACTGAGGTTAGCTCACACTCTGAAAACATCGAATTAGCTTTTTCTCTTCACTTAAGCAATCTCTATATATAATAACTTGTAAAAGTTCATCTATCTTACTACCAAAATTTTTTTATTAGTTAACAGTTGCTATGACGAATTTTAAAAAAGGCTATACGGAGAAATTGTTTCTTATATAAATATTTTTTTATTTTCTATCCAGTGTCCAATGCCTACTGGTTTACTAAGTCAGACTCGTGCCGTATAAGATACGTTTAAAGGGGAAGCGCTCCCCGATAAAATTTTGTTCAATCATATCTTTTTAGAAGGTAATCTTAGTGTAACTAGTAAAGTTGTTCATGTGACGAGGAGGTCACGGTTCGAACCGTAAAAATAAATTTTTGCAAAAATGCAGGTTAAGGCTGCTTATGATAGACCCTTGTGTTCGGACTTTTTCCCGAATCTCGCGCAAAGCAAGAACTTAGTGCCCTTTATAGTTTGTAACCCGTGACTTCTTATATAAAGATGGAGGGATCATATCCACTTATCTCACCACAAAATTTGGTAGTTCAACCACATATACTTATAAACTGCTATGTTATCGGTGTTTGTAGATGCTGCGGAACAGAGGAGGGGAAAGTAGAGTGCAAGTGCGCAGAAGGATGGTCTTGCTCCGTTATTAAAACAGATAGTCCCAAAGCTGGCAAGCCCTTCTGTATTTGTTCCACCGACACCACTTGTATCTGTGTGTATGTACTCACTATTTCCAATGTTTTTTTTTTCCTCAAGAAATATCTACGAGAGTATAGCCTGTTTGGACATAAGAAATATTTTTCCTTTTTTTTCAAATTCTTTTTATTTTTTTCTGAAATCAGCATTTATTAATAAAATTTTCAATTTTCACTTGAAAATGCATTTTGAAATTATTCAAAGTTTTAAAAAACTCCAAAATACTGTTTTTCAAAATTTTCATTCAAATCACTTGCAAAACTTCAAAAATAATAAAATTATATTTATGTCCAAACACAATTCCAATTTTCAAATACCATTTTCTTTTGAGAATATTTTCACTTTTTTTTATGAAATTTTACAATTCTTATGTCCAAACGTCCACCAAGTATTTGTGGACGAAAGAATGAACGGAAGTACTCCATGACTGAAATGAACGGAAGTACTCCATGACTGAACTTGTCTCCAATATCATGTTAATTTGTGTTATCACATCCTCTAAGGATTAAACTGAGAACACAAGGTTTATTGTTTCGTAAAGTAACAATATTATTTTTTACGCATTAAAATAATTAAACTTTACACATTATATATCAATACAATTTCTAAACTTTTCTTAATATGATAGTAATTTTATTTTTCTAACACATTATGAATTTTACTTATTTCGTACTATAGTGATTAAATATAGCCATCAAAGTATCAGTGCTATAATTGGTAAAGTGTATTTTTGTTCTGTCATAGTGGGCGACTTTAATATGACAAAAGTAGCATTGTGAAAACTATATTTACGTAGTTGATTTAATGTGACAAAGGCTAATTTATGCTTGCACATTTCTCGAAAAATTAGTACTCTTTCTATCTATATCTATGTGTTATACTTTTTGTTTTATATGTACTAAAAATGTCATACTTGCTTTTTTTAGAAATAATTTAACTTTAAACTTTATATTTTATCTTTAATGAGATGATTGATAATCAAACAAATATTTATGACTAGCTTTGAATCATAAGTTTCAAAAATACTTTTTTCTTTTATAAATTCCGTGTCGGGTCAAATACTGTCACATAAAATGAGACGGAGGGAATATCAGGACCTAATAAGAAGAAATTAAATTCTCTGATAAAGAAACTTATGTTTGCACATATGTTGAAGGGATGAATCTGAGAGCACGTTAGCAGAGGTTAAGAAAGCTTTAGAGGGCTCACTTGGTTGCAAAGTAGTCTGCAAGACTGATGCAGGATATACTTGTAAAGTCACCAATGCTGGGAAAGTCATAACTGAATGTGGAGAAGGTTGCATCTGCATCGTTGATGAAACAGGCAGTATTAAATGCATAACCAAAGCAGCAGAAACCTCCTGCTGCACCTCTTCCTCTTGTAACTAAAATATATAAGACCAATATTCATGAACAAATAAGACCAGCAGCTAGCTTGCTTGCATGAATGATGCTGGATTAATGGTGTCGGCTTGAAAAAATAGTGCTTATCTCGAATCATGTGATCATTTGTGTATCTCCAGTTTGTTTTATTAAATGAATTTCTGTTTGTTTAAAATTCCTGTATGTGAATGAGTATGTGTTTGGTACGAAATTTTTTAACTTTTTTATGTTTGGTTAAGGGCGGTTAAATAGCACCGGAGCATAAAGTCAAATTTTAACATATAAGATTGTAACAACCCGACCGGACGCTTTGTGTATTTGAGTCTTATTTCCTTTATTATACTTCACATATGTGTATTTGTGGTTTTATGACTTACGGAGTGGTTAGTTTCGTTCCGGAAAAATTTTGGGTTGATTTGACTCTTTGGTTCTTGGTTTAGAAGCTTAAATTAAAAATATTGACCAAGGTTTGGCTTTTGTGAAAACAATCTCGGGGCGGTGTTTTGATGGCTTCGATAGCTTTGTATAGTGAATTTGAACTTGGGTGTATGTCCGAAATCGAATTTGGATATCCCTAGGTTAATTTGGCTTGTTTTGTCGAGATTTGGCAATTTGAAGTTTAGAACTTTTCCCAAGTTTGACTGTAGGTTGACTTTTTGACTAACGAGTTTAAAATTTTGATTTGGGACTTTAAATAGGTCTGTTTTGCTATTTGGAACTTTTCTGCAAATTTTGGTGTCAATCGGAGTTGGTTTGATAGGATTTAGACGCTTGGTTGTAATTCTAGAGGTTCTTGAGTTTTCTTTTGAGTTTCAGGCGTTTTTGCGTCCGATTCGTAGTTCTAGATGTTATTTTTTTTTTGTTTTAATCGCGCGAGCGAGTTCATCAAATATTTTTAGACTTGTGTTGATACTGGAACCCGGAGGATTTGGGTGAGTTTCGGACGTGTTTCAAAATGATTTGGACTCAATCAGGTTGCTTGTGTGCTGGTGTGTCGCAATTGCGAACATCAGCATCGCAATTGCATGATAGCAGAAGGGCCTCAGGTATCGCAATTGCGATGCCTTATCGCAATTGAGAAAATAGGCTTGATTGGGTAGTACGCTTTTGCGATAATTACGACGCAATTGCAATGGAGACGAGCTTCTCAAATGCGAAGCTAGTGTCGCATTTGTGACTTCCCCCTTAGGATGTCAGAGGCTGCAACTCTGAGGCTTTCTTCGCAATTGTGAAGTGCTCCGAGACTTTCTTCGCAATTGCGACAGTTCACAATTGCGAACCATGTGTATCAATTACAATCTGCAACTGAACAAAAGGGTTGGGAGTCGGAATTTCATCACATTTTCACTCATTTTAGAACCCTAGACTCGGTAGGAGGCGATTTGGAGAGGGAATTTTTATCTACAATCATTGGGTAAGTAATTTTAATCAATTTTCAACTATATTTTATGATTATATGAGATTTAATATCAAATTTATGAGAATCAAAGAGAAATTTTAGGGATTTTTGTATGTCTTGAAAAATAAAAATTTGAGAGTTGAGAGTTGAATTGGACTCGGATTTGAAAAGAAAACACATATATGGACTGGTGGTGTTATAGGTAGTCAGGATCTATCCTTGGACCAGGGTTTTGATCGGGCGAGCCCGGGATTGACTTTTGTTGATTTTTGGTGAATTGTGTAAGATCATAGCTTTATTTATCGTAATTGGTTTGTCTTGCATTGTTTGATGTTATTAAGTCATTTTTGGTTAGATTTGAGCCGTGCAGAGGTAAATTTTAGGGGAAAGCTATTTTTAGGGTTGATTTGCTTAATTGAGGTAAGTATCTTGTCTAACTTTGTATGGGGAACTACCCTTTAAGATTTGGGTTAATTATGTTATTTGAATTATGTGGAAGACGTGTACATGAGGTGACGACTGTGTTCAAAGTATTATATGTAGTATTTTGACCGGTTTAGACTCTTAGGATCTTTCATGCATTTAATTGGTATTGTCATACCATGCTATATCTTCCATTGTTAAATTACTCTTACATGCTTTACTTGATGTTTTTAACACATGTCCTTTATTTTATTGTCAAACTTGCTCTTATATCCCTTAATTGACGTTATTACCTCTCTTATTATCATGTGCCTCTTTTATTCCACGATGTCTCTTTGTGTTGAACTATTCTTATCAATTTAGACGTAGTTAGTTCATATTATCTCTTTCATCTTAAGCTTATGTTACACATTTAAATTAGAAATTGTCATTTTGTAGGAATACCTTCATTTTGAGTTATTGAAGTTGAAGTCGTAAAGGCTATTAACACCTTGAGGTTGAAGTTGTTGATTATTGAGATATTTTTTCTTTTTGAGTATTTCTCCTTCATTTGTTATTTTGAGATTCGTGTACACATTATGGTTGAGTCGTGGACTATATGTTTTGGTAACATTGGTATTGTGATTTTTGCAATGTTGTGGCATTCGAGTACGTGTGGTGTGAGTTGATTATTGTGTTGTGTTATCGATGCGCATGCGGCGGTATAAGGATAAGGGTTAATATGCATGCATCGAGATAAGGTGGGATTTATTTTCGTGTTACTAGTAAGGGAATTACTTGAAGCCACGCGGCGAGATAATGGGGGCTAAAGCGAGTGTAACTATTTTGGAAAAATATTTTCAAAAATACAAATGCAAGGTTCACGTGGCGATACAAAGAAGATTGTGATTCAGACTCGTGAAATGTGAATATGAGGCGTGGTACCTCGGTATGATTTTTTTGTACATTCAATGTTGGAAATACATGATGAGTTGAACGATTGTTATTCTTGATTACTTATTCCTTTCCATTCGCATTTTGATTGAACTTAGTTGTTGTTTTATTACATGTATTCTTTTACAGTCCTTTGTTGCTTATTTTTGTTGTTAGCCTCGTATTGATATATTTCTTTCTTGTCCTTTAATTTCTCTTACTATTCATTGTTATATTATATATATATATATATATATATATATATATCTTGCACAAGTGTCTATCTCTAGTAGGTATCTTGACCTGATCTCGTTACTGCTCTACCAAGGTTAGGCTTAATACTAACTGGTACCGTTGTGGTATACTTATACTATGTTTTTGCACATTTTTATGCAGATCAAGGTACATCTGCTCGTGTCTAACACTAGTGATTGATCAATTATCTCGGAAACTTCAAGGTATACTTGCTCGACGCTCGTAGGCCTCAGAGTCACCTTCTTCTTTTGACTGTGTTACTGTTTATTTTCAATTCAGACAATATTGTATTTAGAGATCCTATGTGTATTCTTGTTAGAGCTTATGACTCAGTTCCACCTAGGTTTGGGAGTTATTGGACAACTTCACCGTTTGAGTTTTATTATGGAAGTTTAATAGTTTAATTTGATGTTTATGTTATCATTTCTGCTATTTCTTAATGTATGTTAGGCTTACCTAGTCTTATATTAGGTGCCAACACGACATTCTAAGGTAGGAATTTGGGGCCGTGACAAGTTGGTATTAGAGCCTTAGATTCATAGGTGTTACGAGTCATAAGCAGGTTTAGTAGAGTCTTGCGGATCAGTACAAAGACGACTGTACTTATCTTCGAGAGGTTACAAACTGTTAGGAAATTCCACTTCTTTGATTCCTTATGATATGAATTTGTTGATTTGGAAATTTAAGTCTTTGTCATTCTATTCTCTCACAGATGATGATGATACGCACTGCTGGATCCGATGATCATACACCCGTGCTAGAGCCACGAGAGGCCAGGGACGGGGTAGAGGCCGAGGAGGGGAACATGGTGCAGCTAGAGAACCTGCTCGAGCAGCGACTAAGGAGCCACTAGTAGCATTGATTGGGGGACAGGCACCCAAGGCGCCTGTTATCACCCCTGCCCTTCAGGAGACCCTAGCACACGTTTTGAGCATGTTCGGTACTCTAGCCTTGGCAGGATTGATCAGGCCCCTGGAGTTATGCCAGTGCAGCTTGTTTTTACGGTTCAACCCGAGGTCAAGGCAGAGGCATCTGAGGAGGAGCAGCTGAGACTTAAGAGGTTCAAGAAGTATCACCCTTATACTTACAATTGTATAGTTATTGAGGATGTGTAGGGTTTTTTGGATAAGCGCCACCGTATTCCCCGCACCATTGATATTATATTGTGGAGACAAGCGCAGTTGCCTTTAATATATTTTTGCTATCAGGAGCAACATGCAGGTGGTGGCAGGCTTATAAGGAGGTTGGGCAAGTTGATGCAACCCCACTCACTTAGGCTTCATTTTCATAGCTATTTTTGAGAGAGTTTGTTCCCCAGAAAACTCGGGATGCATGGTGCACATATTTTGAGCAGCTGCATCAGGAGACTATATCAGTGACAGAGTATGCCATCAGGATCACTGAGCTATCCCGACATGCACCTTCCTTTATTTTGATAGTCAGATAGAGAGTCCGCAGATTTATTGAGGGGCTCAGTTATGGTCTTAGATTCAGCATGGCTCGGGACTTAAAGATGGGTACTCCATTTTAGTAGGTGGTAGTGATCGCACAGAGGCTGGAATGTATAAGGGGACGAGAGAGAGAGAGAGAGAGAGAGAGAGAGAGAGAGAGAGAGAGAGAGAGAGAGAGAGAGAGAGAGAGGACAGGGATGTCAAGAGGCCTCGAGGTCTTGGAGGATTTAATGGTGGCCACACTGCAATTTCAGCTCGTCATGGCAAAGTCTATATGAGTTGCCTAGTTCATTTAGAGCTTCCAACTACTAGTAGTGCTACGGCTATCCCGAGGTCTCATGTTAGCCACTTTTTGTGCACCTTCTAAACGGGGTGTGTTCAGCGATCAGTCTAGCCGATCAAGCCAGAATTCGTTTCAGCAGCCACGCCCACTTCAGAGATTTTATCAAGTGTGTTGATACTATACATATGGTCAGGGACTGTCCAGAATTAGGAAGGGTGTACCTCCTCAGACCACACCAGCTCCACGAATTCCATAGGGTCCACAGGCCATGGTTAATGCTCCAGTTGATGCTCCACCCGCATCTCCAGCTAGTGGTGAAGGTCAGGCGGGTAGTGTTTGCCCTAGAGTGGGGAGGCTATGCTATATTCTATGCTTTTCCAAGTAGGATGAGAGAGGTCGCATTAGACGCCATCATCATAGCTATTGTTCCGATCTATCATAGGGATACCTCGGCCTTTTTTATCCGAGCTCCACTTACTCATATGTGTCATCTTACTTTGCTCCGTATTTAGATATATCATTTTGATTCTTTGAGTGCTCCTGTATATATGTCCACACTTGTGGGAGATTCTATTATTATAGACTGTGTTTATTGGCCGTGTTTAGTCACTATTGGTGGTTTTGAGACCATAATTGATCTATTGCTACTCAATATGGTAGAATTTGACGTGATCTTGGGCATGGACTGGTTGTCGCCCTATCATATTATTTTGGACTATCACGCCAAGACCGTGACATTGGCTATGCAGGTTTACCGTAGTTGGAGTGGAGGGTACAATGGATTATATTCCTATTAGGATGGTGTCCTTTCTAAAGGCACATCGAATGATTGAGAAGAGTTGTGATGCATACATAGACTTTGTGAGATACGTCACTGATGATACTCTTAATGTTGAGTCAATTTTGGTAGTGAGAGATTTCCCAGATGTATTTTCAATAGACCTACAAGGCATGCCACCTGATAAGGACACCGATTTTTCTAGTGCCAGGTACTCAACCCATTTCTATTCCAACATTTCGTATGGCACCAGTAGAGTCAAATGAGTTAAAGGAGCAGCTTCAGGAGTTTCTTGATAAGTTTCCCCTCTTGGGGTGCTCCAGTTTTGTTCTTAAATAAGAAAGATGGCTCCATGTGGATGTTTATTGATTATAGGCAGCTGAACAAAGTCACAATCATTAACAAGTACCTAATACCATGCATTGCTGAATTATTTGACCAACTTCAGGGTGCTAGAGTTCTCTCAAAGATTGATTTAAGGTCAGGGTATCATTAGTTGAAGATTAGGGACTCGAATATCCCGAAGACTACTTTCAAGACTCGGTATGGTCACTATGAGTTTCTAATGATTTCATTTGGGCTGACCAACTCCCCAACAATATTTATGCATTTGATGAATAGTGTATTCCAGCCATATCTTGATTCTTTCATCATTGTATTTATTGACGACATCTTGGTGTATTCCCGCAGCAGGGAGGATCCTGAGCAGAATTGGAGTATCCTGCTCCTGACATTGAGGGAGAAGAAGTTATATGCAAAATTCTCAAAGTATGAGTTTTGGCTTGATTTGGTGGCATTTTTGGTCCATGTGGTGTCTAGCAAGGGGATTAAGGTAGATCCAAAGAAGATCGAAGCAGTTCAGAGTTGTCCCAAACCATCTTCAGCTATAGAGATCCGGAGTTTTCTTGGTTTTGCTGGGTATTATCGCCGTTTTAAGAGGGTTTCTCATCCATTGCTACACCTTTGACTTGATTGACCTAGAAGGGTGCTCTATTCTGGTGATCCGACGAGTGTGAAGAGAGCTTTGAGAAGCTCATGAACAACTTCAGATCTAGTTTTTCCTTTAGCATTGGGTTCCTATAAGTGTATTCTGACGCTTCACGGATTGGTATTAGATGTGCCTTGATACAAGAGGGTAGGGTGATTGCTTATGCTTCGCGCTAGTTGAAGCCCCAAGAGAGAACCACCCCTTTCATGATCTAGAGTTAACAACCATTATTCACGCATTAAAGGTTTGGAGGCACTACCTCTATGGCATGTCTTGTGAAGTATTCACAGATCGTCGGAGTCTACAACACTTGTTTAAGGAAAAAGATATGAACTTGAGGCACCAGAGGTGGTTAGGGCTGTTAAAAGACTATGATATCACCATTCTGTACCATCCAGAAAAGGCCAATGTGGTGGTCGATGCCTTGAGTAGGAAGGCTGAGAGTATGGGTAGCCTTGCATATTTTCCAGTTGGAGAGAGACCCTTTGTATTGGATGTTCAGGCTTTGGCCAATCGCCTTATGAGGTTGGATGTTTCAGAGCCTAGTTGGGTTCTTGGTTGAGTGATTTCTCAATCTTCTTTGTATGAGCGCATCAAAACGCATTCGTATGATGACCCCGACTTACTTGTTCATACTAACATGGTGCAGCACAGCGATGCCAAGGAGGCTTCTATCGGAGATGATGGGGTGGTGAGGATACAGGGCTAAATATGTGAGCCTAATGTGGATAGGTTGGGTGAGTTGATCCTTGAGGAGGCCTACAGTTTGCGGTACTCCATTCATCCGAGTACTACTAAGATGCATCAGTATTTGAGACAATACTATTGGTGGAGAACAATGAAGAAAGATATAGTGGAGTATGTGGCTCGGTGCTTAAACTATCAGCAAATGAAATACGAGCATCAGAGGCTGGGTGGTTTGCTTCACAAATTTGAGATTCCTGAGTGGAAATGGAAGCATATTACAATGGATTTCGTTGTTGGTCTCCCGCGGACTTTGAAGAAATTTGACGCAGTATAGGTTGTTTTGGATAGGCTAACCAAGTTGCACATTTTATTTCAGTGGTGACTACCTATTATTCAGAGCAGCTGGCTTAGATCTATATCCGTGAGATTGTTCGCCTTCATGGTATGCTAGTGTCTATTATCTCCGAACGAGGCATACTATTCACATCACATTTCTGAAGAGCTTTGTAGCGTGAGTTAGGAACACGGGTTGAGTTGAGTACAACGTTTCACCCCTAGATGCATGGGAAGTCCGAGCCCACCATTCAGGTCTTGGAGGATATGCTTCGTGCCTATGTTATGAATTTTAGGGGGTTCTTGGGATCAGTTTCTACCGCTTGAAGAGTTCACCTACAACAATAGCTACCAATTGAGTATTGAGATAGCTCCTTATGAGGCCCTATATGAGAGACGGTGTCGTTCTCTAGTTGGTTGGTTTGAGCCGAGTGAGTAGAAGTTGTTGGCCACTAATTTGGTTTAGGATGCCTTGGAGAAAGTCAAGTTGATTCAGGATCGACGTCATATATCACAATCTAGGCAGAAGAGTTATGCTGATCGGAAGGCTCGTGATATAGCCTATATGGTGGGAGAAAGGGTTTTGCTTTGTGTTTCACCCATGAAGGGTGTGATGAGCTTCGGCCTTCCAGAATCGCGATGTAAACTTCGTACCCCAGTCAGAGATGATGTATACCGACACGCCATGAAGTCGGACAATCTCGCGAATATAGACGTGAGCCAACTGCTCTGAAGAATAAGTAGTCACCACTAGAATAAATGAGCCAACTTGGTCAACCTATCCACAATCACCCATACTGCATCAAACTTCTTCTAAGTCAATGGAAGCTCAACAACAAAATCCATGGTAACTCGCTCCCATTTTCACTCGGGAATCTCAAGCCTCTGAAGTAACCCACCTGGTTTCTGATGCTCATACTTCACCTGCTGACAATTTAGGTACAAAGCTACATACTCCACGATATCTTTCTTCATCCTCCTCCACCGATAGTGCTGCCTTAAGTCTTGATACATCTTGGCGGTGCCTGGTTGAATGGAGTACTACGAACAATGGGCCTCTTTAAGAATCAACTCACGTAAACCAACCACATTTGTCACACATAGCCAGCCATGCATCCGCAACACACCGTCATCCCCAATAATATCCTCCTTGGCATCGCCGTGCTGAACCATGTTCTTGAGGACAAGTAAATGGGGGTCATCATACTGACGCTCTATCTGATATGATCATATAGAGAATACGGAGAAACCACACAACCCAAAACTCGACTCAGCTCCAAAACATCCAATCTAACAAACTGGTTGGCCAAGGCCTGAACATCTAATGCTAATATCTTCTCCGCTGCTAGTAGGTATGCTAAACTGCCCAAGCTCTCCGTCTTACGCCTCAAGGCATCGGCCACCACATTGGCCTTCTTGGGATGATACAGAATGGTGATATCATAGTCCTTAAACAACTTTAACCATCTCCACTGCTACAAGTTAATATCCTTATGTTTGAACAGATGCTATAGACTCTGGTGGTCGGTATAGACCTCAAAGGGGACACTGTACAAGTAGTGCCGCCAAATCTTCAATGAATGAAAAATAGCTTCTAATTCCAGGTATTAGAAAGGATAATTCTTCTCATGCACCTTCAGTTGTCTATGTCATGCCCCGAACGTAGGGGGC